TGCGGAGCCGCTGGCGGGCCTGCGGGGTTGGGCGGCGGGGTACCCGTGGCTGGGCGGCGGCGGGGGTCGTCCGACGGTGGCGGGGTTGGATGGCCCCCGCGGTGGGGGTCCGAGGGCCGCTGCCTCACACCGGCTTTGCCCCCAGGGATCCCCGCTCGACAACGCTGCCTCACACCAACAATAGTACAGTTGCCCCACCTACTTCCGACAGTCTCTCCACATAACCATGACTAACCGGAACTATTGGAAAAAGTAGGGTAACAACTTGCGCTACAATATTGGATATTCTCCCGTCCTTGTTCGATAGCTTACTTGCGAAGGACCAATGATAGCAAATCACATATTTAGACGAATACGCGGAGGTAAATGCACAAAACAGCGTTGGCACGTATGACAGCATGTGTGCAATTATTGTCAGCATAATTGTTCGCTCCTCCTTCATTATTAAAAAACTAATACGTATAAAGTTATATATTGGACAACCAAACAAACAGGGGATGTCAATTTAAAAAAAAAAAAAAATTTGACTTTGTTGTAAAAACTCTAAGCGTTTGTAAAAATTTGTTGAGTGAATGTCATTGTATTTGAATTGTTGGAGCATCGGTACCTAGCGATTTTTTTATGAACTTGTCTCTTGCGGGATATGATACACAACTAGTAAATTTGTCCTTCATTCACACTTCATTATGGGTTAGTAGTACATATATCTGACGCTGTCCTTGCGTACGACATCAATTTTTGGAGCATGCATGAAAGACACCTGGAATGACGAACTCATTCCAGGCACCATAGTCTGTCATTATATTTATTAATATCTATTAATTTTACTATTAATTATATATTTTATTTAATTATATATTTATTATAATAGATTTTTTTCAAGTTGAGAATTTATTAAATCAAAGTCATATTTCACCGTTCCCGCAGCCTATCCTAATAATTGGCAAATAGTTATCGTTGCAAAATTCGTAGAAATGTAACAATAGTGTGTGTCCCTTGTTGGAAAGTGGGAAACCGTCGCGAACCTACATTTAGGTTTCTCCACGAAATGTGAGTATTCACTTAGTTAATTTCAGTAGCTCCTATTGCCTAGATGAGTTATGCTTCGGAAAATAGAAATTCATGTGAAGAACTGCGTTCGTCACAGGGACATCACGTAATTAACAAGAGGAAGAACATAACTTAAGGCGTCGTATTTCATTGATTCCATAGGAAAAATACATGAATTACACAAGCATTTACATCTTGCGTGTGCCTTGCTATGCCTTTGATAATAAGTATCGTAATCACACACACATAGAACACAAAATTCGCAAAACTACTATTACATACAGACGTCATCACACACTTTTTTTAGTCAGCCTTCCTGAAAACACTACACGAACCCGTCAGCATGTACAAACATATACTAGTTCGCCTCCAACAACAAGATCTGGATTCATAACGCCTCATACACCAAAAAACAATCGATTAGCATGATAGCTACGAGCGCTTCTGATAAGAGACACGCGCAAAAGAGAAGGTAAGAAAACAAATGACTCACACACCACCTCTTCAAAAAAAGCCCCTTACAAACTCGCAAAACCCGCTGGTGACAAACCCATGAACGCTAAAACGATCACACAACCAATCAGCTAAAGATTCTCGTCGCAAACACTGCGCAAGATATACCAACCCAACAATAACGCTACTGCCGATAAAAGGCAAGTTCATCACCATAACGCCATAGATGCTACTCGACCATGTAGACCACCTATAGCACTGGATTATGCACCTCGGTTTACAATTGAAGGTCGTCATGCATATAGGCACGACCTGCCAATGGCGCATCCAGAATTACTTCTCATTCCACTATTGAAGATAGGAAATCACCATGTTCTGAGGGTATTGCCGTAGTAACCAGACGCACCATACACTCGACGATGCCCTCGCTTACACCAACGTGACGATCCGGAACATTATCGTGCACCTTCGTCACATACACCATAAATGCTACTTGACCATGTAGACCACCTGTAGCACTGGATTATGCACCTCGGTTTACAATTGAAGGTTGCCACGCATATAGCCACGGCCTGCCAATGGCGCATCCAGAATTGCTTCCCATTCCACTATTGAAGATAGGTAATCGCCATGTTGTGAGAGTATTGCCATAGTAACCAAACGCACCATACACTCGACGATGTCCACGCCGGCACCAACGTGACGATCTGGAACATCATCGTGCACCTTCGTCACATACACAATGACGTCATGCAAATACTCCCTAAAATAGCCCAACCCAACCACCAGACGTAGGGACAACTCCCCCCACGCATCGATCTCGTAATGACGAATCTCATGTTGTGAAACTGCTCCTGTAAACTCAAACTAACGACCCATGCGGAACTCCCGAAGATCACGCATCTTGAAAGCCATGACTACACGACCACCAACATGGCCTCGCGCAACTAGAGAAACCGCCATAGCGAACTAAAACCCGAACAAGGCTACACAGGAAAATTAGCACGTAACAGCAACGATCCCACGATCTCCCTCGACACACTCCAGCTAGTGCACAAACGCCAAAGCACTGCCGGCCCAATGCCCGTAGCCTACGCTATAGGGATCACCTACTTATATAGTAGAACGCTACATAACAAACGGGAAGATGATAACAATGTTTAAATTAAGATAATAACAGATGCGTCCCCACCTAACCAGGGTGGACCGCCATGAGCGGCAAAGACGGGATGCCGTGGAATGTGTGTGTGTTTTTTTTTTTTTTTTTTT